AAATAATATTTGAATTATTATATGATATATCTCTTTTTAGTTTTAACATTTCTTTTTATTAAGCCGCACGTGCAGCTAGTTTTAATCTAGTTACTCCTACAAGATTTATTGTAGCACTGTGTTAATAGATTCTTTTGTCTGCATCATCGCCGAATATTTCAAAATTTATAAATAATTTCTATAAATGTGTGTTAAATGTAAATACATTAGAGTAACAACTATTCGTACACATTACTAAAAAGTATCTCAGGAGCGATAACAATCTATAAATTCGAACGATTTATGCAAAAGGTTTTGTTTTGCCGTCTCTATCGATGTAAATTACAGTATTCTACAATTTATTAAATGCAGAAGAATACTTCACAATTCTTCCCAAACGATATTTACATTTTTCTTTTGACGCGATTTGCGAGCGCAGTTTAGATGGGGTCAACTAACGCTCTCGCGTTATTTTTACAATCTCGTTTCGGCGCCTCCATCGCGACAGCTCTCGTGGTGTCTTACAAACTCACGCATGCATAAAAAGAAGAAAAAGTTCGACGAGTAGTATCGCGTTACCGGTAGGTAAGACGCTTTTCTTTGCTTTTTTTTCTGGGAGAAACGCTCGGTCGTCTAATAAAATTGAGACACACCAAGAGTATGATGAGTTGTTCAAAATTCGAGCTAACATATAAGCTCTCATGAAAAAAATCTTTGAAAGCTGAGGTATAAAATATAAATGGTTGTATGCGCCTTTCGTAAATTAAGAATTCCATTATGGTTAAAAAAAAATTAATATACAGAATATAATTAAATCAATGGGTCAAAATTTGCAGGCATATTTTTCTATTAGTTTCAATTTCTTTTGCGACGAAAATTTGATCAATTGGATATTATTTAAAAAAATCATAGAATAAAGAGAGAGAATCGATTATTTATAACATCTGTCTATCTCTCGAAAAAGTAGATGTAAAAAATTTTGCATTATGTACAATCGCGAGGAACAAAAGATACTCCGCGATTTCGAAGGAGATCCGCTTGTTACTTCCCTATAGAAATCGTCGAGAGACAAACGGCGATCGTATGGCGCGTGTACGCATCTCAATGTTGCGATAAATGTAAATTACGGATATATAATGCACAGTAATCTCGTGTGCGACAAGGAGGACCGTCCAAGAATCCTTACAGCCGATCGAGTCTATGCAGAGAGAGATTCTAATGAGAACTCGCTCACTCTCTCGCAAGATAAGCGTCGCGGTTGGGTTGCCCGTAACACGAAACACGACGCATTCGTCCGTGCATTCCTGTCCGGTTTCCTTCTTTTCTGGTCGTCTCCCTGCACCCTTCGTCCCCTTCCGACCGTTTCGTGCGCCGCAGCATCCACTGCAATACGGCTCTCCCCCATCCTGCCCGATCGCACGGGCCTATCTCTCCAGCGTTCATTTCTTCTTCTCGCTCTTTCTTCCTTCTTTCGTTCTTACCTGAGATATCGCGGCTCTCTTCCCCGCTTCTTTTTCCTCCTCGATCCTTCGTTCGCTTCGCCGTCGTCCACCCCCGGCATCTTTTGTCTTATTATTTTGTCGGCGCGCGCGGCCGGCAGGTATATCTCTCCTTCTACACGGCACTTCTCTCTCCTTCTCTTTCTTTTCTCCGCGCGCTCCCCGCATATAAACATCGCGGTTTTATCTGAACGTTTTATAGCGGAGAGGTCCCTGCCGAGACCGAGGGGGCCGGGATCACCCCGAAGAAGGAGGAGGAGAGCCGGATCGGTGCCGGCTTTCTCGTACCAAGCGCGCGCGGATCGGAGAACACGGATCCACAGCCTACGCTCATCCTCGACTCCTTTGCGATCTTCTCTCTGTCCCTGTCTGTCACCGTTTTCCTCTTGTCCCTCCGCCAATTACAATGTTCGCTTTCGCGGATTCTCTGCCTTTGTCTCGCGCTGCTTGGCGCGATCTGCGCTGAATCCGAGGGACATCCGCCGTTCTTAAAGGACCCGATGCAATGATAAAGCGTCTTCGCGGCCCCCCTTGCAGGACATCGCCGTAAGGAAAAAGAAAGAAACGATCAAAATCATTTGCATACTGCGGCCGAGTCTATTTCCCTTCATTCTCTTCGTTCTTTCTTTGCTCTTCTTACTGATTTTTTCTATATGCAATACTTGAAATGGTCACACTTGTCGCTAAAATGATAAGGCAACAACGTGGTATACTTATCTTTTGAATATGATAAAATTGGTTCAGCAATGTAATTATTTATTTAAAATTAAATTTTATCGATGAAATGCATAGATTTTTTCATTGATTATGGATCTCGAAAAAAATCAATTCTACCATTGGGCGATACATTATCTTTATTAATAGATAGCAATTGAATTGCGAAATAAATTCGAAATTGCTCGCGGATACAGTATATTAATAAGTTCACGTATACCGAATCATTTAATTGACGACGACCGCATTTATCACGTTACCAAGAATCTCAACGATTAAGTTTATCATTAAGGAAAATAATTTATTGTAATCACTCTATTTCTAATTCAGTGTCGCTTTTTTGTTGTTTTTGCGGTAGGCAACGAAGCCTATCAACTGCCTTGAAAGTTGCAATGATAAGCATGTAAATTCGTACAACTCGCTGCGACGGTCTCATCAAGCTACGTGATATGCAATCAGCGCATAATGTTCGAGATTTAAAAACTTTGCGTTTGCGCGAGGTGTATTTCTGTGTAAAATATTTTATCATCTTCCGTTGTGCCGGGAAGCGTAAAATAAATCTATTAATAATGCCGCATTTCGAAATATTTATTTTTATTCAGTGCATCGATGTACTCGAAGAGCTGATACGGAATATCGAATAAAACTGTAATACAACTGGCAAATTAATGATTGCTCGTAAAAACATATTACAGATTAAATTACTAATTATTTTTTTCTCTTCAGCAACATTCTACATATATTTAACGATACATGCGAAGTTGCTTTTGATATAAATTTCATTTCCTTGCATATTATCGGATAAATCAACAAATCTTCTCTTAATATGTTTCCGTGTTTTTGAAAGATCATTCCAGTAATCCGCGAGTTTATCGATTTAATTGGTGTTTCCTAGGTTATTACTCTCGTATTCATTAAAAAAAAAAAAGAAGATAACTACATATTAATGAACAAGACCTCATAATACTTTTATTCGTACAATTTACATGATTTATGTCTCTTCCTTTCTGTCTCTCTCTCCCTATGTAAATAACGTTTTAAGAGTATACATTACTTAATTTTTTAATATTTTCACGTACTTGTTTTATTATCGTTTATAAGTAATATTTGATTTTTTCTCCGCATTATGCATACAATCTATGCAATCGGTTTATCCTATATAGTACAGATTAATTCAGATATCATTATCTCTCAGATCTAGAGATAATTTACTAGATAATTTATGTCAAAAAAGCGAGAGATTTTGTCCATTACTTAGAGATAATATCCTCAAAGACCGCGCGCAAAGACGAAGCTATTTGAAGTTTCTTTGATGCGTATGGTAAACACGTTATTAGTAATTGTTGTTTGAATGAATGCCAGTTGTATGCTCGTTTATGCCAGTTGAAATGAGCCTTTTACAACTGACACGCGGTTTCAAATCTATTATGCGTGCAAAACCATTTGTTACTTCCGTTTAGTCTTTGAATAAAGTATCTGTGAAATACGTGCTCACGGAGCAATGTTCACGTTACTCTGTAATGTCCATTAATTGAAAATGATCCAGTACAAATCTTTCGTTTTACAAAACCGCCTCGTTACATGTTAGTTATCGTTGTGCATTTAATTAGTCGCCTAACAAACTCAATTCTGCCCAAGAGGTTGCAATTATTATATTGAAAGAAACAGAATTATTTTTGCTTAATGGAAAAGTAATTAAACATTCCTAATTGCCATACTTTATCTTTGAGAAAAAATTATACGTTGCATATATATGTATATGTTATTACTTATTATCAACTTGCAATCGTTAACTACAATGAAAATTTAATATAATATCCGAAAAAATATTAAATTAATACCATAGTATATTTAGATATGCGATTCTTTTTATGAAATATCTTTTGTTTGTATAACGAGATTTCATTATGTTTGCATTTATAACACTTAAAAATCACATAAAAAATTTGAGAATAATAATCTTTTTAGAATCCCCCGTTTAATAATTATCACCGTAATGCATTTATTCTTGCACGTTTTTCCTATACAACAACGGTGCTCTTTTTTTACGTTAGGAGCAGCAGCTGTTTAAAACCCGTCTGACTCGTTGCAAATTATTACATAGGCCATCGCGCATATAAGTAACGTTCGCGGTAAAACATTGAGATAAGATCCAATTAGCTTATCAATAAGGAAGATAGGTCAAAAAACGACGTACAACAGTAATTTTATTTCTATGTCGAAAGGTAACGAAATCGACAAAAAGATATTAAAAAATTTTACGCGTATACTCTTTTGTCACAGACTCATAAATAATTATTTATTAATAATAGCCGGGTTCAACAATTTGCATTTGATGTATGTCTTGGTGTGTTACTTAAGCGTGCAAAACCGTTTTTCGGATGTAAAAAAAAAACGATAATGAATTCTCTCAAATAACAGTAAAAAGCGTGAGAACTAAATATAAAAATATGGTTTTTTCGCGACAGTTCTTTCGAGTACTAGATTTGCTTGTGTTACCCTTACCGTCGCTAGGCTTCGTAATGCAAAGAAAGATGCACGTGCACCCGTTCCTCCGCGACTCTTTCTGTCTTGATTTCCAATGGCGACGCAAAGTATAAAAAAAGTGCGAGAGCGACTGTAAAATTTATGAGGCCTAACTCGATCTCCGCGCGACGCGTTCATCGGGCGAAACGTTTAACGATCGTCGCACGGTGACTATCAACGAGGTTCGGCGATATTTACGATGACCGATTTTTTGGACAGCACATTGTGTCGGGATAAGGAGTGGGTGTGCATGATGTGTCATCACGCGTATATATATCAGGCTTCCATATAAATAGTATTGTATTTCACATTTCGTTACAGTTCAATAAATATCTTTCAAATTTTATTTACATAGGCGGCGGGGTTTGCGCGAGGGAGTTAATTAGAGAGAAACGTCGAACCTTTAACCGTGGTCGCGATCAAACTTTATCAAAACTACAGGATAAAATTATTATTCGATACATCAAAAGTTTTATGTGAAAAGTCATTGATGATAAAATTTGATATTATAACTCTTTAAGTGCTGAATTGGCAGTGCTTGGAATCACAGATTTGAGAATTCATGAAATTGTTGAAATAAAGCATTATACTTAAAAATAATCGAGAATTTTTGTTAATCGAAATTTGTATGTTTTCTAAATAATCGCTTGATGTAGATTTAAAGCTCTTAAAGAGTTTAATGTAAAAAATAATTCGTTCTTTTCACTGGGTAAAATTTGATAAGACATTTGTACCACAGGTTAAAGATTATTTCACACGCATCGGTACAGCGTTGTAATCCAACGTTACAACAAACTGCTATGAGCGATGATTCTCTGCTGCTATCTATATAATTAACAAATATTTCGCGCCGACAATAGAAACGAAACTTGTCTCTAACGTCGAAGTATTTATGGCACTAATTTGATCGTCCGCGAGCAATCACGTGTTCACCAAACATCACATACACGCGTAATTATTTGCGTGAAAATTGCTGCTGACACACACTAAACATTTTTGAGATACCGAAAACGGAATATATGTTTTCCAGAATTCGGGATTTCGCGAAATCCATAAAAATGCAGATCGAACTTGCCAATGACTTGACAGTGTGTTACGATGACAGCAAAACCCAAGGAAAATGTATAAATCCTTTCACGTTATTAGTCTTTAATCAACGATGATATTATCACGTATTTTTTATATAACCGAGTTATATGATTTATTAAACATATTTTATTCGCGTGTTGAAATCGGCGATGCTGCAGTCGCGGCAACGTGCGAAATTGCGAGATCAATTCACGAATCATATGACAAGCACTCCTACCGTCGGTCATTACAGCTTCTCGAGCGCGCGGCTATTCGTCAGCAATTCCCTGGTGAGTCTCCACACTTGCTTCGCGGCGTTCTCCAGACCGCTGGGCGATTTTCCTTTGAAGAGATCGAGATTTGGTAGAAAATAGTGCGGGCACCTGCGGCACTGCAAGCAGGAAATCAGCTGCAGAAAGATACCGTTTATCCTTTCGGCTAGGCATCCCTCATCCCATTCTGCCTCGTGAGGATGTTTCTCACACTCATAGAGCAAAAGAGTTTTCATGTGATAGCTAGTGACTGGATTTCCTGGCAAATCGAGATGCCGATCTCTCAGAGTCTTCAATATACTTAAGCAACGCTTCCTGCTCGCGCCTTGTAGCAGCCGGTTCTCCGCGTCGATGAATGACAACGCCCAGGCGTCGCCCTCCATGGCAGATTGCTTGCCCTGCAGACCTATGCATTCTTTCGAGAGCATGTCGAAGCCCTCTGCTTTCACTTCAGCGACGATATTTGGATGTGGCCAAGGTATGTGCGCGATAGGCCAGTGAGAGGCCGACCTGGGCCAGAGTCCGGCGCACTTAAAGGCCGGCGTAATCTGCACCACGTAACGCTCTCGTATCCGTAGCTTCACCTCAGTAGTGTCGGCGATCATCTTTACCGAATCCCGATACGTGCACTTGTCGCAGGCCTGCGCCACTAAAGTCTGAAATCTCGAGCGTATCTTTCGGGCCGACAGATATCCGGACGCGGTGATAAACTCAACCCAGAGGGACATAGACCGCTTGCGACCGTCGCTGAGCTTTAGTACGGCACAGCCCGGCAGGGTGCCATCGTCCACGAAGTTCAGCACGCCCATTTGATTTAGATAGATGATAATCTCAAACTCCGTCGGCGAGATGACATCGAGGCCGTCGAACCGGCCGTTGTAATCCGTCAGGGATGAGATGAAGCGAGGCTCTTGCACTTCCACCTCTTTCAAAACGTCCTGCACCACTCTGCATACTTCTTGAATAGTCTTTGCTACCTGGCTTTTTCTGTTCATCACACGCTCGCCGAAGTACTTGTTGAATTGGTAGACCATCCTGGAGTGGGACGAAATCATATCAGGCGGTACCAGCATCGTGGACCGCCTGTAAGTCCGCGGATGGTTATTATGCGGTTTCTCAGCTTCTTCGGATCATTGCGTCTTTACATACGCGTCTTCTGCTATTTCCTGCATTGGATGTCATTGAGTCGCTCCGCACGATCTATCGCATTACGGGAAATGCGCGAGGTCTATGAACTGGCGTTTGATTTACCCTTGAAATATCGCCTCGTGCGTCACCGGGATACAGCAGACACCGGGATGCCGTAAACACCGACGAAGCGAGAGAAAGAGTTATCACGAGCGTCTCCGTGCAGGAGCGGATTGCCGACTGCGCTGATGTCTACCTTCTCCGCATCATTCACCCTCCGTGGCAAGCACGGGCGTACAACGTTGTTGGCACGCCTTTTCCAACAGAATACGCCTCTCGGCAAGATTTTTAGACCAATCGGAAGCTCGCCATGCTGTTGAAGCGGGGGGTTAGCTGTGCCAGACCGACAGAATCGATCCGTTGTGGGCACACGAAGCGCGCTCCGGCAACGTTTATGTATAGTGTGCACGATATAGGAACCAAGGAAACGCGAGGCAACCCCTCGTGGTAGCCTTTCTTCCTCCCCATGAATTATGCAGGTACTGCTTACTTTATATCCTATCCGCAAGGGCTCGATCCCTCCTCCCTGCAGCTCCTTTAGTTACTCCGAAATTTTCGACATGGTGGATCCCAATCGTGCCGCCGGATAAAGTTACCTCAAATTTTTTCACGTCAAGGATATTTTGTTTCCAATGAGTTAGCATTAAAAGTCGGTAGATCGCAATAATTTATTCATTATTGTAGCTAGTTCTAATATTTGAATCATCAAGAGAAATGTTGCCTTGGAGCATACACAAATGTACATGGAAAAAAATGCTGTTGCTTCAATTAAAGTCTACGTCACGGGCTGCCACAAACATACATAGTTCATTCAATGATATTTTTATTGGACCAAATATCTGAATAGTTGTTTTAATAATCCAGATATTTAGTCTAATAAAAATATCATTGAATGAACTGTATATGTTTGGCAGCCCGTGACGCAGATTTTAATTGAAGCAACAGCATTTTTTTCCATGTATAAACTGTCTTAATTATTTCTGAACGCAAAATAATTTTTGGAAAAACAGTTAATAATTTAAATTTCATAAAATTACAATAAACGCCATTCTCGTAGCAACAACAATTACCACAAATGATATAGCATTATTGATAATGTCTGCAATAAGTAATACTATCGATTTCTCAAGTTAATATGAAATAGAGGAAATAGTGAAGAATACCCTATAAAAGATATAGAAATATCTTAATATACATAATAATAAAAATATTACAGTTGCTCTTGCAGTGGAGAATATCCATTAATTTAAAATTCCATAGTCAATAGAGATCTTTACTGTTCGTGTTAGAGTGCAATAACAATTATCGTACGCATTTGGAAGTGGTCGAATGTGTAGTAAAGCAAGGAAAGCGAATGGCACCGGTTAACGAATGTCATCGTCAGGAAAGGAAGACGCGGAACGTTAAGGATAAAATTAAGATAAGGATGTGATATTTTATGTAGGCGTATAATGATTGTCCGCCTCGCTGTCAGCGAGTTTTTCAGGCTCTTACACATACAAGCTAAATACAAGTTGGCATAATAATTGTACACTCATTATAATTTGGTATACAAGTACTATTACGAGAAGTATATTTCTGTAGTAGAAGAGCGATTTCATAGAAAAATAATTAGAGAAGAAATATATATGCACATATTTCATCATACATTACAAAATATGATTTACGAATCATACTAACGTTTTGAGTATCTTCTTAAAAAAAGAATTTGTTGAATTAAGTAATATTTGATAAAACAGAAATACAGTGTTTCTTTATGATAACTACATTAAATAATTTTGGCATACACCAATTATTTATGCCGGGTGTAATTATTGAATATATTTAAAAAATTATATAAATTCTATTATATATAATAGCATATTTTCCCGATTAATATTAATGCGATAAATATATATTAAATTTCTTAATTGCAATTGGATATAATTTTAAAATAGGATAACATCGCCTGTTTCAGGAATAGATAGTTATTTAATTAATGGTGATAAATGCATTTATTAATTATTTACATTTTTCATGTTTTAAATAATGATCTAAAATTATAAAAAATAAATATTATTTAAATAATATAAAAATATCTATACTACATATATGTATATACATATAACAATGATATTCAAACTACCGTCGGAAGCTTGCTATTAATCGATTATAAATATTAGATTAATAAGAATAACAAATCACATAATACGCTACATATAGATAAATAGATAATTACAATAATAATCAGTTAGAATAAATTACATATTTTCTATGGTTTTGCAAGCAAGTTAAAATATTAAAATGTAACTAAAGATGATTTTATTAAAATATATATGTTCAAAGTATAGAAAAATTTATTTTTATAAGTTTTATGCAGAACATAATGTTAAACTTTTAAAGAATATTAAAAATTGAAGATTGTGTATCTTAAGAAATTATGTTTCTATTTTATTGCGATTATAATTTTAATATTTGTTTGATAATTGAGATGAAATAATTATTATCACACTAAACATTTATACGAGATATTCTATTTCGACAGAATTAATTGCACAATTTGTATTGCAACGTGACGCATTATAGTAATTATCGATATATGCTATGTATTTAACATTTAACTATAGTCGCGCGAGATAACTATCGTGAAGCATATCTTACAGCAATATAAATTATTTAGAGTAAAGATTCATATATATTATTTTTTAGAGAAAACTTGCAACTTGCCGGAATCTAAGACGGAGTCGTCGTGCTGTACGTATTTTTCATGGCATGTTCTTGCCAAATTAATCATATCTTTCTTTTTTTGGATATTTACAATTCACATAAGTCTGTTTACCTATCTTATGGATACTAGTTTTTCTCATCAATCAATTATTAAATAATAAATAATTTTGTTTTTTTCCTACAGTTCGCGTTAAAATATAAATTTAGTTTTATTTCTGCATTTAATCGGCAAAATTTTTCAACATGAATAATATAATCAATTTTAAGAAAAGCGAAACATAATAGTTCAATATGAAAAAAATACTGCTAAATATTTAATTAATAATAACAGGATTATATTAGACTATTTGAACATTTAAAGAAAAATTAAATACGCGATTATTTATCCAAGAATTATTATTGTTTGAACCATTATTAATTGAACCATAATTGTTATTAAAAGAAAACGAGTACTATTATAAGTACTAGTACTATTACAAATTAAAATGGCTTACATATTAATAATTATTTGTAACAATGCACCATCTCTAAACTCTCGACACAAGCATGTATTAAATAATAACTAACTGTTCGTATCGAATAAACACCATACGGTGGCAACAATGTTCTGTTATACGTGTCATCGAGCGATTTCTCGTTCTTCATTATCGCGCGTTTTCTGATGTTCTCGAGATGGAAAACGCTAAAGCTTCTCTAGGGCGCGGCTGTTTGTGAGCAACTCTCTAGTAAGTCTCCAAACTTGCTTCGCAGCATTCTCCAAACCGCTAGGCGACTTTCCCTTAAAAAGATCGAGATTTGGTAGGAAGTAATGCGGACATCGTCGACATTGTAAGCAGGAAATCAACTGCAGGAAGATGCCGTTGATGCGATCGGCCAAACATCCCTCGTCCCACTCGGTCTCGAGGGGATGCTTCTCGCATTCGTGCAGCAGTAGTGTCTTCATGTGATAGCTGGAAACCGGATTCCCAGGCAGATCGAGATGACGGTCCCTCAGGGTTTTTAATATACTGAGACATTTTCGGCGACAGCCGCCCTGTAGCAGCCTGGTTTCCGCTTCTGTGAAAGACAGCACCCAGGCGTCACCCTCCATCGCTGATTGCTTGCCTTGTAGCGCGACGCTCTCCTTCGATAACAAGTCGAAGCCCTCCGTTTTGACCTCTGCCACCAGGTTCGGATGCGGCCAAGGGATGTGCGGTATCGGCCAGTGGGCGGCAGATCGCGGCCACACACCGGAACATTTAAATGCCGGTGTGATTTGCACGACGTATCGCTCGCGTATACGTAGCTTCACCTCGGTAGTATCGGCAATCATCTTTACCGAATCTCTGTAGTTGCACTTGTCGCAGGCCTGCGCCACCAAGGTCTGAAATCGCGAGCGTATCTTCCTAGCCGACAGATAGCCGGACGCGGTGATGAACTCCACCCAGAGGGACATTGACCTCTTGCGCCCGTCGCTGAGTTTCAGCACGGCGCAGCCCGGCAGTGTACCGTCGTCAACGAAGTTGAAGACACCCATCTGATTCAAATAGAGGACCACCTCAAATTCACCCGGCGAGATTACCTCGAGGCCCTCGTAGCGGCCGTTGCACTCGGTCAGAGAAGAGATGAAGCGCGGCTCCTGCACCTCGACCTCCTTCAGCACATCCTGCACGACCTTACACACCTCTCGTATAGTCTTTTGCACCTGGCCCATGCGAGCCTGCACCCGCTCGGCATAGTACTTGTTCATTTGATACAGCATCTTCGATGGGCCACCCATGATATCTTGCGGAACCAACATCATGACGAGACTGTCCGCTTCCAACGATCCTGAGGATGTTCTTCCGTCTCGGACGAACGAGCCTCATTCTCTCATACGCATATTCACTCACGGATCAACATACTATCGGTGTCGTTGTTATTATCGTCAATTGTTTTTCCGTGCATGATTTTGGCGGCGCTAACGTCGATCTCGCCTCGATTGTCGAGTCAGGGGTAGTACGGGGGAGTATACGAAACTCGCAGTCTTAAAAAAGGTCGCCGAAACGGGTTACGGATAAACGAATTGTGCGTGCCTAATCGTGTGGCAGGTGTTGTACGTGCAACGAGGTATCGGCACGAGGTATCCGGCGCGCGCGACGACAGAGAGAACGCCGGCTGACCACCGGCTGGTTCCACTTCTGTTGTAGTTGTGTTCCTAAAGTCCCGCCTCCAGAAAGACAGGGTCACATGGAGCGTGCGCGTTGGTACCACGCCTCCCTGTACCTTTCCTCCTCCACTGCTCCTTCTTCTGGTCGCTGCTATCGATAGACAGCGATAAACTAAGCTATGCGGGTCGCGGAACCGTATGATGTTCCGTCACTAGTAAGTCGATTTGTAGTATGTTGATTTTAGGGATATTTCAATTAAATTATTCTAATTTTGATACAAAATTGTTAATTTTTTAATTAATTAAAATGTAAAAATTATATACATCACCCTACACTAAGTCATGCGTAAAACTTTATCATGATAGTGATGATGATGATGATAATGCTAGAGTAGCAGAAATATCTTATAAATCAAACTAGACAATTTAAAATTTTTATGGATTTAAATTTTTTTATTAATCAAGATATTGTTATATACATAAGGCGACAACGCAAATTAATATTTTGCAAAATATGTTTGCAGTTATTCATTGTATTCAAATGAGTAGTTACGTGTTACTTTCACATGCCATGTATATTGGTAGACATTCTCCGCAAATGGGTGAGCCCGATTTCATGGTACGATAATTCCAGACACGACCAAGTGAATAGATACGATAATGTTCTGTTGAAAGGATCATTTGAATATTGAACATTGACATTTGTATGTGTGTGTGTGTGTGTGTGTGTGTGTGTGAAAGACGGAAAGTGTCGGTGAAAGACGGAAAGTGTCGACGAATGTTTCCCGTTCTTATTCGCGCACGCAAACATAAGTGTGCAGCTTCAATTTTGATGAGATGCACACCCATACACACACATCTGTAGAGGCAGGTGTGCGCGACGAAAAATAGCTTACAAACACGAGATACTAAAGAACCTCCCTTTTATACTACGATCGTAAAAACTCACGCCATACAAATATCCACCAAAGAATACCGATCGACCAGACGGATACGTCAGATATTCAGCGCGCGAGATTTCGCCGATTAGAACCTCCATATCTTCGGCAAACATCGTTTTCCACTCGCTCGATCTTTTCAATCCTTTACTATAAAAAAGAAAACAATCATTGTTGTCAACATGTATGCAGAGATATTTTTCTATCCGTTAACATGAAAAATAAACCGCGACATTTTTTTATTACTTGTAAACTCCTTTCACTTTCATTATTTTGTACTATCTGTTATGAAAAATGCAAGTTTGTATTTTATTAAACACTAGGGAGAAATAGCGGTACTTTAATTGCATTTTATTTACTTTATTACATCGTTCATTATTGTCCGACTCGTTGTTTATGCTCCGATTGCTAAAGCTGCGAAGCGAAACGGCGAGTTATGCCAGAGAGTCGCGCCACGTTCAATTCGTGCTCCTCGTTCGTGGATAATCGAATAAAGCTCGGGAATCCAATCTACTCCAAGTTGGAGTGGTAGATTGGTACCCGGTGGTCCCTACTTCGCTTTCGCTAATACGACTTGATTCATGAGCCGAGCACGTGTGTCGTACTCGCGCTCTCTGTCTCGCTCTCCGTGTTTCGCTCTCCCATCTTGCGTCGGTGAGTCGAGGGGTCAAACGTTCTGCTACATCAGCCCTCGCATTAAGGCAGAACCCGGGCTCCTTCCGCCCTAAATGTGCCTTTCATCATCCCATTTCGACTTAATTCGTTTATCATCTGAATTATTTGTACACCGATGTTCTCGCAGCCTTGCTGGGAGATGACGCTTTGCGAAATCATCTTTCGATCGGAAGCTACTGGAAGATGCAACATTTACATGATAACTCAAATATAAATTTGCTAATTTAAAAATAATGTTAATTTTTCTTTACAAAAAAAAGTCAGACTTACCGAATTTGCAATCGGCGATAGCTCAGAATCATCATCGTGCATAAAAGAGCAAACTCGGGCAATCGATGCATGCCAAAATATTTCGCTCGGTATTGTATACGTACAACAGGCGTAAGAACACTTTTGGTTTCCATTGCGTAGATTCTCGTGTTTCCATTGTGTAATATTTCTATCGGGGATTGTGATGTATCTTCTAGCAGTCTCTTTCTCTTGCTCTGGTCTATGCAGACGGCACACCGAGTCGACCTTGTAAATCAGCTCGAATGAACATCCCCGCGTAATCCCGAGTAATCCGGGACTCGCTCGTTGAGCTTCGGCAGCCGGTAGAAAAACGATGGATACCTTGGAGTACGTATTTCACGGTTTCTTTGTCAAATGGCATGGAAAAAGAGATCGTTCCAAATGTCGAGATTTCATCTCGAAAAATCGCCCCAATCATTACGTAAATCCATCACTGAGAGAAACGATCCGCGAATCGTCTGATCGAATAATATTAGAATTCCCTTTGAGAATAACACGTATTTTTTAATTAAAGGTCAGAAAACGATTACATCCGGTTACATAAATTGCAGTAGAGTTATCATAAATACTTGAGTAGTTGAAAACTGCATAACATTTAAACGCCGATCGTTTACAATGCAATTATTAATAACAGCGATGACAATGTCGGCTGTAATCTCCTTAGCGTACACGGACTAGTAGTTTAGAGGAGCCGTTTGACGCGACAGCCGGCTTCCTCGTTCGCATCTGTTTTACCGGAAGTAAGTCGCATTATCTACTGCTTTATGATACCTGGGAAAAACCCGCGGGTACGGGTTAATTAAATGGGAAAACATCGTTCTTCGCTGTGTATCGAGCGTCATTAGCTTCGTCGGCTCATTGCCACCACGTTCTGTCCGTCTTTCGTGCTCGTTGGCGATTTCCTCGTTACGCACGTGAAATATGTACGCGTGCGATGTGCTTTTTATTTCCTTTTTTTGTTCTTGCTGCGGCAAATTTAATGGAACGCAGGACGAGTCACGCCGTGCAGCCGTCCTTTGTGCATTATATGCCGCTGTGCGTTATCTCCCAGCAATGCTGCGGTAATAAAGGTATGAGAACGCGCACGTGTCACACATAACTCATCGTCGCTTGGGATCGCCGCGATGGTACGCCGAATGTCTCGAGCATTAGCCGCCACATCCACGGAAACAGATGCCGTCTGTTTCCCCAATGTGATGATCTTACGATCGAGTATGATTTTGTGAAATTCGATGTTTATTTTCACTGTGGTTTATTCATAATATTGAATTTGCATACAAATTTATACCTTGCATCTCTAAAATGTTGCGAAAAATTCAGATAAAAATGAATAAAAATTAATTCAATACGCCTTTAATGTGCGTATGTTACAAAGCAAAAATACGATTTCTAGACTGTCTCATTCATCGTTTTATTTAAAACATTTTAAGCTATTTTTTTTTTTTTTAATAATTAGATTTATTATACTCTCTTTTAAACGAATTATCAATCTAATTAAAGAAGGACAAAATAAAAACTATATGAAAACTTGGTGAACAAATGAGATGTATATAAACATGACATTTTTTTCCTCCACCGGTCATTCATGCGTTACACTTTACTTTGCCGTTTGTATCGTGATTTCAAGAGAAACAGCACTCGAAGCGCGGAGGGTTCTCGTAGGCGTCCAAGTGAGCCCGACGAGTGGAGCGCGGCGGGTCCATTATTGTCCGGCGCTTAATCTGTTTGTTGTATACCGCCGGCGGGCTGCTAAGTGGTATCCCATTCTATGGTACCCCTACGGTGTACGTAGGAGCGGCAGCGGCGAGGGACCCCCTTGCGAACGCGACACATGTTGTTACATCACGTCGCCCATTGTCGTCGCGATGCAACCCCGGTGCTCCGCTGCGTTCGGGACGGTTTCGGTTGGTGAGAGATGAGCACGGAGACATGGGGAGCTCTAATCGCGTATCACTTGACACTCCACGGCCAGGACCTCTCTTTAACCGCGTGTGGTCTTTGCCACCCGGTCGCTGGTTCGCTTTGCGACGTGTAAACGTATTATTTTTACATTCTGTCGTATACGATGCGCATTTTGAGATGCGATCACATCTCACAAAGAGAATGCCAGGAGATGAATATGCTACGCGTATACATATATACGTAACGGATGTGCGCAGAAATATCTCGCATTTCTTTATATAAATATTTTTATTTTATATATAGAGAAAGAGAATTGGATCGTTAAAGTTTTATATTTCTTACATGCATAATTATTATTTATCTGCCTTTCTTTATATTTCATATTTCCATGTTTTATGATATATTAAAAATGACGCATGAATATGATGTGTCTTATAAAATAATATATGTTTTATTAAAGAAGAAAGAAAGAGAGCTATTTAATGATTCTGTAAAATAAGCGTGAATATCGTAGCAAAATTTGTTTCGTTAAAGGATTGTTTTCGTTGATTTAACGCAATCGCAGCAAGAAGGTGGAACAATACGTTGTATCTTGCGTGCATGAGGGTCAAACGATGGATGAGCCTATCTAATCCTTGGCAAGATTTAATGCAGAGTACGTGATATATCTGTAACTGCGGTAGCAGGTATCCAAATAATGGATTCTGAGCCGTGACGCGGCCGTTATCAATCTTGGACAGTGTTTGCGGAGAGCTTGCGCAGATCGCCCTAGGGGTTGGCTTTGTGCGTTCGCTCCCCGACTGGTCTCCGACCTTGCGCGTTGTGTTCATCGCGCACGATGTTTTCAGTAAGACCGCCGCATGACTCGCGAAAATCACGAAAAATAAAAATAAAAAGGATAAATATGTCCCATACCTTTTACAATAACTGCATTCTCTTTAACAATAATTGCAAAAAGCGTTATATCCGTGTTGCACCCTCAATTTTCGCCGACACTCGATGCTTGTTACAAATCAGTCATGACATTTGTAATCCCGAGAGAGTCCAAGCTGCTTACAGACTTGTAATTTTGACATGCATGTGGCACATCATCATTAGCGTTTAATATGCGGCTGATGATTCAGAATGTTTTGACATGTCCCTTTTTTCTTCGTTAACGATGTTGAGTTATTTTTCGCGCTCATCCGACATCATCATGCAAAGAATTTACTTTGATGACTTACCGCGACGGTATTTTTGCATAAAAATATTGAAAACAACAATAAATTTAAGTAAAGAAACTCGTTATATTAAAAAGTTCAGAGCAATAAAAATAAGTCAACATAAACAGGAAGGTTGTACATTGTTATTGGCGTCTATTTTTATCGTTCTGAATTTATTAGAAATTAACTTAATATGAGGCATAGCAATATTAGATTCGGGAATCTTTCGGATACCATATGAAGTATCCTACTTTACTAGTAATATCGTTCTTTGTGATAGTTTGTTTATTAAGTGAAAAAATTATATTTATTAGAAATATGAAACCGCTTATCAAACTGAACGCTAAGTGTTTTGTGTGTTTTGTTAAGATAATGACTATCTTATTCAAAAATTTTAACATTTATTTTAACATTCTTCTTTTTTTACAAATTTTATATGCATAATATATATATTATATATATAATGCATGTCTGGTTGAAATCTCTTCTCGCCATTATTATAAAATTAATCGAGATATTTGTAAAATATATATTTAACTAAGGGTGACCAAAAGCTTTCAGTACTCTTTCAAATTAAAGAATAGTAAAATAATCATATATATAATCATATATATAAACATACATGATTATTTAATATCTTTTCTATATCTAAGGATTTTAATACATTAACAATATGATATAAAGATATATTTTTATGAGTATTAAAATATTAAAATTAATTTCGTAATTGTTATTTTGTTAAACGGATCGCAATTTAAATAGCAAAATGAGTACAATTATTTATTGATTTTGTATCTATTGAAACAATTATAGACGAGTAGCCCTCAGGCTCGGCATTGTATATCTAATTGTATCCCGGCGAAATATCATGATTTCTATTTGAATTGATATTGAATTATTAATTATCCATTCGGCTCAGTACGCTATTGCCGTTTTTTTCTTTTGTCATCAAAAGCGTCGACAAAAATTGATATTAAGATATTTGCGAATACCGATACCGACTTCGAAGTCCAACAACAACATTTCTGTAATTACGTTCACACTTACAATAGTCACGCTTTTATCGCAAAGAACGGCTTTTACAAGATTGCAGATAGGATCTTATTGGCATTTTTTAATCACAGACTTTTTGTAATCAGCCGAAGGGATCATTTCGGCGAATTATTTCGAGGATAATTTCATTCGCCGCGCGTAAGGACATCGCGGCGACACAGTACGTCCTCATTAAGAGGCAAAAATTGAAGGCCTTGTTAGGGGTGGTAAACGGGGATCCTTTATTTTGCCCCTCTTCTTCCTCCTTTCTTTCTTTCATCGTGTTCGCCGATCTTTTTCCTTCCATCCTGTTCGTTCTCTCGCCAAATCTTGTTCTTTTTGTTCTCCACCTCTCCCTCTTTTGCCAACGAGATGTTCACGACTCGTTCGAGAGCGCAAGTCCATGAGGTCCTGGGATCGATTCTCGCCTCAGCAGGGGAGGCTCCTCCTACCATGACGGCCATCTTGCAACTGGCAAGTCTCACTATATCACATCACACTTCACTGCATCGAAGTTGCATACTTATATCCAGCCATGCACTCGCATCCTCGGACCATCCCGTTTTGGTCCCCAATCGGCATTTCCCTAGTGATGTCCATGCACGTTATTATATCTTTGTGAAAAAATACTCGAAATACTAATTCAAAAAGGTATTATTGCAATAAATAATTAATTGCTAGATTATATAAATATTTTTTATTTTAGCATCTTTTAAAAATGATATTAAATAATTCGATAAGATCTCTAAAGATTGTTTCCGTAAAATATGTAAGTTAACTGCTGCATAATGAATTTAATATTATAAATAAATGAAATTGTAAGTAACACCACACCCAGTCTAATACTATAGACTATAGATAAATAGAAACAGGTATAATTATTTGTCCTTTTAAGCTTTAATCTGAAAGGATTGATAAAAGAAGCGCATTTTAATTTTTTTGTTACAGGTGCTGAAGTATTGCGATCATTTACATGGAAAATGGTACTTCTCCGAAGTACGTGCAATCTTCTCGCGACGTTACCTGCTGCAAAATATGGCCATCGAAATCTTTCTCGCCAGCAGAAGTAAGTAATTCCTCTCGTTTTGCTTGTCCTCAATCAGCGGGCCGCTTTCGAACGAGAGCGCATTCCGTTTCTTGTTCACTAACTTCGAGCCCTTCTGCGTTATTTCGCGCGACGAAGACACGGTTTAATCTGGCGAATAGCGGCGGAATTCCGAGCTCGCCGCAAGGTGTGCGCGCACGCATTACTTTTTACATAATAAATATCTCGCCCGCATTACGGTATGCCTTTTTCTAAGATCGGTTTATTATTCAATCCCCATAAGCGCGCATCTGCTGCCGTTGCTATACTTTACGCAGAATTATATCGTAAATAAAATTTAACATATAATGAAGGTTAATAGCTCTATATTTCGGCCAATCATCATCTTTAATTAACATAAAGCCGCTAAATTTATATATGTATATAATACTAATTTAATGATAAATATTTAAAATCATAAAATTTCTAACGTGTTAACAAAGTCATTGAACGTATTAATTATCAATAACGACGTATTAATTATCAATAACGACATTTTTGTTAATAAGTCTTTGTTCTTCTCCGAGGCAGATCGCCATATCCTATAACACACAAACTATACGCGAGGGAATTATTTATACCTGTCTCTCGAGGACTCCACTATCCCGCTGATTATTTCTCTGGGGCGCAGATAAATTCCCAGGCGTTCCCCGATTCTAATCTGATCTCGACTTTCGATGCGTCGCGCGGAGACGTTAGCGGTGGAATGTCATCCCTGCGAGGAGCCTTCGTCGTTCATTAAAAAAATCGGTTGAAATGTGCGTTCGTTAGTTCGATGTCGGAGGACACGTCGGATCGCGTCTCTTCTCACGATAAATCGTCAAATAAAATCGAATATGAGTTACTTTATAACGCGGTCACGATGTAACTCTTAATCGCCGGATCACCATGTGTTTGTACGCTATAATCACCCAAATATACCAATTATGTATAAAGAAATGTTCTTGTTTTTGAACGTAGTTAATCCTGCAAGACAGTCCTTACGATTTACCGCTTCTTGACATGCTATCTTATGTCACGTTATCGGACGTTCGGGATCTCATTTTCAATACGAAGTTTTTATGATAAAATATATGATTGCGTTTAATGCTAGAGCATCTGCGCATATTGGCAATATGCGCAATACCAGCATGAATTTAAAGAACAGCTGAAGAGGATACATAATATACGATACTTTATAAACATACGTACATAAGAAATATTATAAAAATTTAATACTAATGGAAATGTCAAAAAAGTTGATTTAAGTTTTACTTGAAATGCTTATGCAATATTTATTAAAATTATAAATATAAATCAACAGCTTCTATTTCTTTAAAAGAAAGAAAAATATCGACTTTTTATAAAATAAGAACATTTGATTATGTTTATATATGTGTACTGCGTACACATATAAGAGTTGAACGATTAATCTCTTTCATTTTTAATTAAAATTAAATAATACTTATTACTTTTGTATACAAATAATTAGGTAAATTACAAGAAAATATTTATGGTAACTGTCTTCTCGCACACTACCCTTTGAACTCTCGAGGGAACGTCGAACGCGAACACATTCTAAACGATTGAGTCCTCTTCTCGCTTCCTAATATCATTTGGTAGATAGAAGCTAATCGAGTCTAAAAATTTATTGCAAGTGTAGTTATTGTACAATAAATTATACAATATTATACTTATCAACTTATCATTGCAACATATCTTAATATATTATTAGCATAATTATGATTAAATAATGATAGTTTTGTAGCATCCAAAAGATTAATATTATTGCTTTATATCTTTATTATAATGTCTTCATTAAATTATAACTTTTATTATTTTTATACATAAATATAGGTCAAAATTAGAAATTGAAAAAATAGATTATAAAAACAAGAGGGAACTCTCTCTCATTCATCCTCTAAGTGATTGACATAGCTAGGAAATCAGGCTTTCTTATAATTCGCCGTTTAACGCCTTTTTGTCCACAGCCTCGATCCTGTTTGCATTCTCGGACCAGGCGACGGTGAAAAAGATGATCAAGGCGCTACCGCGAGTCGGCGTTGGCATCAAATACGGGATACCCCAGACTAGGTAAGCGATAACTGCCTAGAGACGCGAGGAAGGAAGCGCTTCTGTCATTCCACGGGAATCCGAGAATCTCGGAGTCTGTTCCCAAACATGTTCGTCACATTCCCCCGTTTCTTTGTTCTTTTCGGTAAAGCGATTCTACCCAGGGACGGATTCTCTCGAGAAGTGCTTCTTTCTACAAATATATTTATCGTTTCCAAAGATTACATTAAAACTACATTAGTATATAAATACAAATGTGAGGGTAAATTAATCACAATCAGTGAATCGAATGAGAAGAAAGGTAGAATAAAGAATATTAGTTTATTAGATAACACTTTGGCGTGTTACTTTTGAAAGTGATAATAAATATCGGTAATATCACCAAACTAAATGATAATTATATTTATGCACAAAAGTATTTTTTTACAATATTTTAATTACATATGCTGCATATTTGTATATATATATATATATATATATTTATATAGTATATATCTCTACTCGTAAAGATACTTTTTGTTTAGCATAATATTTTTCTACACACGCGATAAGCGAAATAATGTATTATTTATTAGCACATATATTATCTTTATTACTTTGCTAGACATCGCTATACATGCAGGTATCGCTGAAGGTAAACTAAATATACATTGAGAAATTAAACTATTTGTATGCAGCAACAGCAAAGTTTATATTTGTGTCTTTCACAACTTTAAATATTATATATTTTCATATATTTATTTTATATCTTATATCTATTTTTGTACTATTCTCTCATAAAACATCAAATACTTATTACATGTAAAAAAACGAAAGTATGACAACATAAGCAAGTATAATGAAAGACAGCAAGAGTGTAAAATTCGTCCCTGCAAAACGTTGTTCTTGTATCATGAACATCCGAAAAGAGAGAAAGATCCTTGCAGGATATCAAGCTTCCTATAGGTCGGCAAGAGTTGGCGGCGACAACAGAGATTCGCGTATCCTTGCTTCGACTCATCCATTAGAGCTCTCCTATATACGAGATAGTCGGCGAGAAGGATACATCGGCCATAAATATACGACGACGAACTCCGACGTTTCTGATCTTGAGGAGAGAATTCCTGGCTAAGAAAAAAACAATCCGTCGGTATATAAAACGCAAATCCGCGTATCGTAATACAGCAAAAATTGCGCTGCATGGAAATAAATTTACAGATAACAAAAGCTTCCTAATTGATGTTTAATTAACGCACCGTATTATTTGACATCTTGAAGAAACATTACAACTTATCGTTTAATTAATTTAAAAGTTGCAATCTAGTAGAAGCTTAAAGTATGCATAAAATTTTATCACAATATTAATTATTGAAATATGTGTTTTTAATATTAAAAACTGAAACGTGAAACAAATTTTGGAAATTAAATCATTGAGTCATAAAAAACATTTTTTTTATTAAAATTTGATGAGACGAGTATATAAAATGATTTGAAGAATAACAGCTTTCCATTTCCATATATCAGAGCAAGTCGATAAGAATTGCTTATCATTATATATAATGATATATTTAAATACGATATAAATTAGTTTATGTAATAGTTTCGACAGAATCGTCGAACTTTATATCGAAAAGTGTAGCTACTGACAAGCAATCGTAAAGAGTTATATTTAATTAAGTTACTTCGCCTCGAAGTCATGAATTAATATACAGTTTTAATTGGTAGAAAATTCTACTACGATTATTATTTTTTTACAAAAGGATCGGAATTTTTGCGCAACGGTAGAAATATCAAGGATATAATTTCGGTATAAAACATGGTGTTTATATCTTTAATTATTAACATCGTCATAAATCGATAGTAATTAGGCATTTCCTTTAGCATATCAGTTACATGTTCATTTACATCTACTGGCCTTGCTGCGAACATTAATCTACTCTACAGGCAACGCGAATAGGATGTAGAATCTTATAATCGAGCCTCATCTAGGCGCGACAACTCGTTGTAGGTTTATATACTTCACATACATTTATTCCAATTACATTCGTTTGTTCTATAGAAAAATTTCAACAAAAAATATACTTGAAACCTTTTTGCATTAAAGAGAAAAAGAGAGAGAAAGAGGGAAGGAGATTACATCTCGACAGTTATGCTTCGAAAATTATAGTCGGTATTTTGCCGATCGCCAATCGCAATGGAAGTTTTCACGCTTGCATGAAATTTACGCGAGATGCGTTTCAAGGGTTGAATTTATGCGTCCGGTCGTCATCGTACGCGCTCTTTTAACGTATCTCAAGGATGGACGCCCGTTAAAGTCTCCGTATAAATTCTAAATCAACGATCTCCGCGTTCATAAAGTCGCGCGATGAGCTTTATGGCGCAAACGCAAAGTGCGGCGAACGCGTTCAAACGTAATTGCTCTTATGAATTGAGACCGACTGCCGTCTTAATTGCGTTTCAAAGCCGATGCACTGCTCGTTTGATTCGGCAATTAAAACGCGCGGCGAGATACCGAGCCGCAACGCGTCTCGCACTGTGGTCTGCAATTTGGCATGCAATTATGCCAGTTTCGCGCTAAACTATAAGTCCTCCAGTCATTTCGATTATGGATACTTCATTGTTGGCACGTGCAGCATCGGTGCATTTAATTACATGCATATAGATGCTCTCATTTCCCGCCTATGTAATCTTTTATGCTTTCGGTTTAATGAGCAGACGTTGTAAATACAATGATGAAAATAGATTGAGGAGTGAAGAGATAAATTATAATTTTATATTAATTATAAAATCATTAAAATTACGTTAACGATGAAAGAACATTGCTATATTTATCACGATAATTAAATTCAAAGAAAAAACGATCGAGCAAATGTGTTTACTTGTTTCTTATTTCTATTAAAATTGAATATTTAGTAGGCAATATATATTGGAAAATTATTATACTTATGTTATTTTACATTAATTATTTTAGATTTGGATATATTATATGGATACTATAATTTGTAAAATTTAATTTATTTTACAGACGAGCATCGTTGATGTCACCGCGACAATTGATGAGAAGCTCTAATATGACTCAAAAGTGGCAGCGTCGAGAAATATCGAACTTTGAATATCTAATGTTCCTGAACACAATTGCTGGTAAGTATCATTTTATAAATATGAATCTCGATTGAGAGAAATAATCGATCGGTAGTCGACCGATTTTCTTCGGGTAGCGATAGAGAAATTTCGAATGAAAATAGCGAAGATGTCGGGTTTTTTATGGTTACACACGGGCGGATGGAGACTGTCGCGCCGCATTAGGGATGTTCTCAATCAGCCCTGTGTTCCGTTAGCTACCCCATGCGAGTAATCCCAACCTCGGTGGGCCTCGGTAATCCTCTCCCAAGGGACCCACCACCGCCTCCCCTCCTGCCCTGCTTTCCTGAGGGCGAAATGGAGGCGCGTCTTTGTTTCTCTTCGGTTTAATATCCGCTCCCTCGCGCGCTCATCGAACCAAATCACGAAATTCGAGACGCCGCCGGTCTCGTGCACTTTTTAATGGGACAACTTGGTCGCCCCTTCACAGATCACGACGGGATCCAGCCAAGCGCATCGCCATGGTATTCCAATCACCTTGTTGGCATTTTTTTTTTTTTCATCGAAACGCATTCTTTTTCCCGATCGCAACACTTATCGAGGATTTAATGATATTTACGCGCAATACAAGTTTACTCACATTATGTTTTTATTATCTCGTATTTGTACATGATGGGATAATTTATCTTTAGTTTCACGGAAGAGAAGGTTCAATGCGCGCATCATTTGTCTTTTATATTACACGCGGCAAGCTTAGAAGAAACAAACGTATCATCAAACGATTCTCCTCACGTGCCGCGAGGTTCATCGACTCCCGGGAATGATCGATCTCTCACTACCCTTCTCTCCCCAGGCAAAGTTTCTTCGATAATAATCATCGGCGCGCACGCACGATAGTGTTCCGGGCGGCACGCCGATCGTCGCTGATCGCAGGGATATCAACTGGCTATCGACCGCGAATCTTGTAAACAAAAGTCCGAAGATTTTGGACGCTCTCGCCCGTTGTAAGTTATACCGCCCGCGTGGGATTTATGCGTGCCCACGCATGCACACGGTGCTTAATGACGGCGATGAACACGGATGCGTAATTATTCGCATTTCGGCGCAGCGCGCCGCGATGCCCGGGGGTGGCCGGACCGCGTATTTACGACGGTTATATATTAATTGCTTGAATAAATAGCCGTGGGTAGCGATGCCTGCCCGCAACGTCGAGAACGGTCGATCTGCCGCTGCATCGGCGGAGAAGGTAAGGGAATCGAATGCGAAAACGAACCGGTCGGACGCGCCGCATCCCAATCGCGAGGTTTATTTGCTTGCGCCCGCGCATCGGTTTATTAAAAATTAATGACAGTGAATCCGATGTAAATACGATAGCCCGCACCGGCGGGCTGCGCACGTGTGTATGGGGTGGACCGCGAAGAGCGATCGTCGAAGACGGTGGCGAACGATATTTTTGTGAGAGATCGCCGTTGCTTGAAATTCGAACGAGATATGTTATCGGAGAAAGAATGACAAATGGGTTTTGCATTAAAAAAATACCTTGAAAAATATTCCAGTTTTAATTGTTCTGCAAGAAAATGTTTAAGAAAAAGCTTATGCTTGGAAAATATTTTTATAAGAATGAATCGAGAGTACCACTATATTCACATTTCGATTTTAATTCTTTTCGATATGTGTCATTTTTTCAGGTGCATTTTGCGAATGCAGCGATATTTTTAATCTTTTTGTATTTATTTTATAATTGCATCTCTTTCGTCGATCAATTTTTGAATTTAATAAAAAATTTAGTACCTATATTTTTTCAAATAATTATTAAATAGATAAATAAAAAGTTCAAATATAACGCAGGATATTAATTGATTGATATTAGTATGGTACAAGATACAATAAAGAATATATTGTGACGGACTAGTATCTCTCTGTGTATAACTGCCGCATTTATTTCCCAAAATGTATGCGGCTCTTTTTATATATGCCGAATCAGGGGATCTTTCGTCCCAGGTAGATGCCAACAGGTCGTCGCCTTCGTTTTCGATCGTATCTAGGCTGGTTCTGGTTTGCAGTGAATTATTACCAAGGATGCAGTGACAGCGCGATAAAACGACCAATCTACCGAACCATTAGTACACACATGTCTATAATTACGATGCACAAAAGCAGTTTACTCCAATCGAAGTAAACTCTACGGCCAAATTTTATTTTCTCGTGACTATTCTCGTTAAATTGCACGTTGTGTATTACGCTAATTAAAGAAGAAAAAAATGAAGATAAATTCGAAGAATGGTTAAGAATTATTTCACTTATTGATAATTATAAGAATTATATGCCACGTGCGAGTAATGTATCTCTTTTGGTAAAATCTTCCCGAATCGTTCGTATTTTTTCCGGATCGGGGAGATGGAGGAGGGGAAAGTAAGGGTAAGATCCGAGTTTCTAGAACGAACGAAGCGAGCGGAGAGGGTGTGTATGTGTCGCGAACATTCCGCTGTCGAGGCGCGTTCCACGAGCGCTCACTCATGCCGACGCTACCATTAATAATCACTTTGATGCATAACGCGGCCTCGCTATTATTTACGCTCGGCCGTCGCTCGCGCGGCCCCCACGATTTACAGGCGTATTGTAGAGACGGCGGGACTTATGCAGCGGCCGGCGCGGTACGACTTTGCCGTTGCATCGTCTTTTTTTCGTCACAGGAATTAAGTATTCGACGAGTTCGTTCTTGGAGACGGCACTTTCAGCCTAGCAATTCCCGTCAGTTCGCGATGTCGTAGCTCGGTGACAAATGTCTATGCAGAGTGTGTCGATATCTCGAAATATGCTTTAGTGAAAAACCGGCGTATATTAATAAATATGTTGAGCAACTTTAAAGAAAAAAAAAAAAAAAATAAATAAAGAAAACTACATTAGTGCCTGAAGTTTCTATCTTATACATATCGTATCTCTATTTTCCATTACATTTGTTAAACAATATATTATATCACTTTTCTCTCGCGCGATTATCGCGAATAAGAACATTTCGCGGAATAGAATCATTTTTTTTTTCACAAAAGAAAACGAAGTAACGAAGGAGCGAGGGAGGATGGTAACACACGTGTATCCGTCATGAGGGCGCCGAGTGACAAACTCGCTGACGTGCTTTAATTAGCGACAGGGAA